CGGTGTCGGCCTGGCCGGCACTTCGGGACCCCTTTTCCTCGAGCCATGAACGGGGCGGCGAGAGCTCGACCAGCTGCGGATGGAAACGGATGGAAAGAAGCACTCCTAAAGCGGAGCTACTCACCGCCATGATGGAGACCAGGAAGAGAGCAGGCAGTTTCCGGTCCGGGGCCTTATGGGCCAGGAGGCGGGCCTTTTCCCCGCGACAAACCAGAGAGACGAGCGACGGGAAGAGAGGCGCGCCTCGCGGCGCACCGTAGGCTTCCCTCTCGTGGCCGCCTCTGGCCACTGCAGGCGACGCTGGTAGGCGTTTTCCAAGAATCATTTCCAAGAGCGTTTCCCTCAGGACCTGGTTCTTGTATGATGAAACTGCTAAAATGATATAATTAAATCAGTTCTCTTATGGAGCAACTATTTTTAAATGAGTCTGTGACAAGGTAAACGAGTCAAGCTTTTACAAATAGAACTGAGTGCTGCCTTCAGAGCTTGCGCTTTGAAGACAGGCCTGAATACCAGCCTCAGTTTCCCTCATCTGTAAAACAGGCAACAGTACCCGTAACTCAATCCCAATCCCAGATGTACTCAGAAGTGAAGCAGGAAAGCCAAACAGAAACCCGTTCACCTCTGTCAACCTCAGCACTCGTCACAGTAGCCAAAGGTAGAGGCAGCCATAATGTTCATCAGCTAACGAATGGGCAAACAAAAGGGGGTGCGTACTGCACACACGCAATGGAATATGATGCAGCCTTGTGGAGAAACGTGACTCTGATATGTCACACTGCATGAATCTCGACAACATTATGCTGAGCAAAATAAGTCAGTTGCAAAAGGGCAAATACTTTATGATCTTACTTTTATGAAATAGGCTAATACATAGAAACAAGAGATTGTCAAAAGATTACCGTGGGAGGAAGAGGCGCTGTCGCCTGGGGGTGGACTGCTAGCCACCAGGTCAGAGGTCAGATCCAGCAACCCCTCTGTGGGACAAAGGGGGGGTCTATCTGCTCCTGTAACGATTTTGTCTTGGAAACTCTGTACAGGGGTCACTAGTCAGTGGTTTGGGTATGGGGGGAAGCGAGGGAGGAAGGGGGAGATGTTTTGGTGGGTGGGGGCACGGACCTTCATTCATGGTGGTTCGGTAATTTGGAAATGGAAAGTGTAACCAATGGCAGACCCTGAATTGTAAACGTGGAAAGGCCATCTTGGCCAATGTGTTTGTGTGACGATTCCCACCAGCATATGTAGTTTTTAAAACGGAAAGCACATGGTGAGTCTGCAGCAAGTAGTGATTCTTGTTATTATTTTAAAACCTATATCCTGAAAAAAAAACAATTTATAAATTATCAAGGATTTATGAGGGAGGGAGGCAGGGCGGGGAAAACTGAGGAGCTGATACCAAGGGTTCAAGTAGAAAGAACATGTTTTAAAAATGATGATGACAACCTATGTACAAATGTGCTTGATACAATGGCTGGATGGATGAATTGTGATAAGAGCTATAGGAGCCCCCAATAAGATGATTTTTTTAAAGGTGAAATAAATAGATAAAAACCTGTATCCAAACAAGCCTCTCTCCCTGGGCCTCCAAAAAGCCACGTCCATCACTCAGAGATGGTCATCCCACAGGCTCGAGGGGCCTCCCAATTTGCTCTCTGACAGACCAGGACTCCAAGCCCAGGCAAGGGGTAAGAGTGCTCCCTGGTCCGTATACAAGAAGCCCTACTGGCAGGGTGGGTGAATCTTTGGCTGCTCATGTTGTGGGAGATCCCCTTGCAGAGGGGTTTCGGGGAGGAGATGAGCCAGTCAGGG